TTCATTATTTGAAAAGAATGATACTGATGGAATAAGTTTTGATAATTGATTTCCAATTATTGTCATTACATCTTGTTCATTTTTTAAAAATATTTTGAGTGCATAATTATGCTTAAAGGTTAATAAAATACAATTTCTTCTATTATTCTATCGTTTACTAGTTAATGTTTCTTTCATAACATAACACAATAGAATCAGTTATATCGCGTGAATATATTTTTTATTTGTTTTATTTCTTAAGTTCAGAACTAATAATACTTAAGAAAAATAATAAATATTTGTGTAAAATAGGAAAAGAATAAATTGTTAAAGGAATATGCCTTCCGATTTAAGCGCCTATATTTTTTGATAACATAAGAAGACAAAAGGAAGATAAATAAATAAAGTGGATTAAATAAGACATTAACTTATTATAATTTATTTATTGGGTTTACACAAAAATTAATGCTTTCTCTCTAAGAAGGTAATGTTTTATTACTTATTTCTTACAACAACTTGTTAATAATAAACTTGAAATTTATTAAAAGCGATGATAGAAAAGCATTCTTCGGGTACCCCCACGAGATGCGTGATAATTGTGAATATAATAAGAACGATAAGATTAGATAAATTAAATAAGTTTCCTCTAATAATAAATGAGCAAAAATTAATAACAATAATTAAAATTAATAAGATAATATTAATACTTGGTTAAATTTTTTCCATCTCTTTTTTAATTTTTAATTTTGATTTTTTTATTTTTTATTTTTATTTTTATTTTTATTATTATTTTTATTTTTTACTTTTTATTTTTTATTTTTTATTTTTAAACTAATATATAAAACAAAATGTAATATTATCTTGACGTTTTCTGCAAATGCGGAAAAAAAAGAAAAAGAGAAAGAGCAAATCAAATTTAATCCAAGATTGAAATATTAGAAAATGATAAATTTCCGTTTTACTTTGAATTTCCTATCCTCATAATTTTTAACTCTTTATAACAATATCATAAAATAAATTAGGATCTATGAATTTAAAAATTCAAAAAAATTTAAAATTTTGTAATCAGTCATTTTAAATAAAATTTATTATTGAAGAATATACCTGAAGATTTTCCAGATTTTATTTCGTCCAATAAATCATGCAATCCATGAAGAGTATGAATAGATCGACTGACATAACATGATTGTGGATGTGAATGTAAAAACTTTTCAAATAATTCTTTCTTTTGAGATTTTGATGTATTTCTTTGATTTTGGTCAGCAACTTTAAGTTGTCGCATAACATTATTATCTACTATATTATCATCAAGTTTTTCTAATACGCCCCAAAATAAATCAGCTAATTCAGTAGCAGTTGGACGTTTAGAAGGATCATCACTCCAACATCGATACATCAAGTTTAAATACCATTCTGGAATCCAATTTAACATAAAATCCGGGACCTTTGGTCTTACACCATTACATATATCTATTTTCAAATAAGTATCATGTGCTTGGTCAGCAAATGGTCGTTGTGCAGTAACTATTTCATACATAATTCCACCAAAACTATAAATATCACCCTCTCTTGTAAATTCATTTCCTCTTAATACCTCAGGTGGAATATATGGAATTGATCCATAAATTTTGTTATTTTTGTTGTTATTTTTTAAAATTAAATCTTTTTCTAATTTACATGAATCTAAATCTATGATATAATCATAACGATCAAAATTATAGAATAACAAAATATTTCCACTATGAAGGTCACAATGAACTAAATTGTTTTCATGTAAGCTTTTAAGACCTGATGCTATTGAAAATAATATGTCTGCTTTTGATCTCCACCATAAATTCCAAAAAGCTTCGGTTAATAAATTATGCAAGTTATCTTCAAATAAATCCATAACTAAAATGTAATTTTGCGTAGAAGGATTTTTTGTAATTCCATAATATATAGCAATAAATTCATGAGAGAGAATATTCTTTATCTTAATATGAGATTTAAAAGACAAATTAATAAATTACAAAACATTAGTAACTTATATCCGAAATATAAAGAAACACACCACTTCCAAAAATTCAGCCACATCATATTTAGAATCTTTTATTTCTTTCAACACAATCTTGTTGCCAAATGAATAATACTCCCAATCCTGTTTGATAATATTCCAATACAATTTTATTCCATTTTCTAATTCGGTAGAATACACAGATCCATGACCACCATCCGCTATGAATTTGATATTTTGAAAATTATCGTAAGGTATCCAATATAACCTATTATGAGAACTATATATTTGAGATTCTTGGATAATCCTATCGATGTCAGCATTCCCACTCGACCATGTTTTAAATTCTTGAATAAAATGATCTTTAGTGCACGAAGAACATCTTCCATCTTTTTTGTCAGAATAAGAGTGACCTGGACAATACTTTATTTTTTCTATTTCTTGAGACATGGGAATTGAATATTTTTTAATTATTTTATCAGATTTATAATTCACTGAATGATGATTATCTTTACCATTTCTGATTATATTTATTTGTGCTAAATTTCTTTGTTTATTAATCCGATCCGATATTTCATGTGATCACAATATTATATATTGTCGCGGTCTGCGCAGAACAATGTGGGAAGTCAAGCCAATCAGTCTCAATAAATTTAGGATGATCACACAA